ATTATGCATGGTTTGCTTCAGTTAAAATAAGAAAAAAATAAAGTTTTAAGCCCAACAAGTCTAATTTTCCCATGATAACTACTTTATCATTTTTAGAAACAACAAACATCAATGTTTTCCCCCAAAAAAAGGCTTTTCCACTTTTCCTTCTTCCTTTATGTTCTATTTGTTTCTGGTTTTCTTCTCTTACTGGTGCCCTGGGGAATCTGCCTGGTGGGTTTATTGCATGGTCCGGCTTTGACTACCTCTTCAGCTTGGACACCACCCTGGAGCCCCAGAACTCCACGGAACCCCCATGCCCAACGCCAAGGAGCAAGAACACAGCAAAGCGCGCTGCAGTGCGGGACACCCGCTGGTGCTCTCGCTCATCTCAGTGTTCAGAGTCCAGTGCGATGCCTGGCACTGAGCAAGTGTCTAACAAACAAACTTGTCAGTCCATAGACACATACCTGGCCACAAGTACAGCTTCCTGGTCCTACACACACAGCCTGCTTGTCATACACAGCCAAGGATGCACACATAGTCACGGCACATGCACCTCATCATCCATGTCCACCTACACAGATACCTGGTGCAGTGCACATCCCCACGCGTGGAACGTAATTCTGACCACACACAAAGTTTCAGGTCCATGCTCAGCACCAAACGCCCACTGCACCCTGGCCCCAGTACACTGTCCTTCCAGGGCTTAAACCCACTTGGTGGAAAGGAACTAACTAGGTACCCAGAAGAAACTAACTAGGCACCGCTTCCTGAACCATGGAAGAGGCAGGAATTTCTCTGAAGGGTGTCAAGCCAAGATGCAGAACTCAGACAAGAGGTACAGTTTCTGCTATCCTTTGGCAGGAAAATGAAAAACTACCTCCCTGACCTTGGTGTGGTGTGGGATTTGCAGATCACTTTCACATACATGATCTCATTTAGGCCTCAGACAGCCCTGTGATGTAGGAATAATTTTCCCCGTTTTCTTATGGGAGGAAACAAGCTCAGGGAGACTAAGAATTACAAAAGTAAGTGCCTGATAATTCAGAAGAAAAAAATATTTACTTGGGAGCAGGAAGATAAAAGTCGAGATCAAGGCCAGGTGCAGTGGCTCACGCCTGTAATCCCAGCACTTTGTAGGGGTGAAGCTGGTGGATTGCTTGACCCCGAGTTTGAGACCAGCCTGGGAAACCTGTCTCTACAAAAAATACAGGTGTGGTGGCACAGCCCCTGTAGCCTCAGGTACTT